GAAAAAGAGTGAGAGAGAGAGAGAGAGAGAGAGAGAGAGAGAGAGAGAGAGAAAAGAAACGAAGACAGCGTTCCAAGAATTGAAACGCAAGATAGACTGTACGTTCGGAATCTTAATCACACACGATGGGAAAAACTGGAGATTTTATCCAGACTGTAAGTCGGTCGTGTCGCAAATACGGTTGTATCACGAGCCCTTACCAGTATTGTCATATATCTTTTCTGCGCGATGAAATCCACGAGAAGAAATTCCTCCTGTGCACGTTTTACCGATTTCCTTGCCAGATTGTTCTTTCTATTGTAATCGGTTTCTCCGCTACGACTATTCCAGATCGTCGCGATACGTTCGGCGAATGCAACGGCGGAAATTAGCAAGCTTCGGTATACCGAACTGTTCGATCTAGCCTCGAACAGAATTAGGTTTCCAAGTGATCTATTGATGGAGAAACGATGGAACATAAAAGTGATATAAGACACGATGTAACGCTAGAACTACCAGAATGGTGAAAATTTTAATTTCATTTCAATTTTATTTATTTCATTTATTTCCGTGGGATGAGATCCTTCGATATAATACAGAATTATAAAGAGCACCTACTACTGAAAATAAAAATAAAAGTTAGTAAATAGGAAATCAGATGTTACAGCTATATAAATTTTATCCCAGTTCTAACAAATAATCTACAAATTAATTTTATATAAAGTATAAATTTTTTTCCTACTTCTTGCGTATTGATTTCTCTGATACAAATTTCATACTTTAATCGTTAGTAATTGCGGTAATCTTTCTCAGGAATTTTGTTAACATGCAACACAGTACGAGTGAATAAAAGTTTGTGTTCTTGCATATTAACTTATCTGATGCAAGTTTTGTACGTTATCGATAGTTCTAGGATTAAGTGTACTTTCTCTTTGTGATTCTTCTTTTTCGTCTCTTAAATGTCCATTAATTATTACTTCATTTCGAGCAAAATAGCAGCGGACGTTTTACGACCGTATAATTACAATCTTCTTGAGATAAAACAATTAATGTTTTCGATGATAAAGCCACGTGAATACGTTACATAGCCTTGTATGTATATTATATCTTAATGAATTTTAGATGAGTTTCGTATTCCTTGTTTGAAACGTTCTTTTATCTTGCCGGGGCAAAAGTACTAAAAAGTCATTAAAGCAGAGCTAACTAATGTGTCATTTAAGTGACTCTAATCTGTTTTTAAGCTGTCAAATGGAATACACGAAAGTACGAAATGAATTTGAACGCGGAAGATGTTCGCAAGCGTGCGCGCCAGCATCCGTATTTAGAAAGTAAAAACGATTACACGTGGTACAAATCACCCTGCAATTTCTCACAACTAATTAACTACTTACAGCGTTCTTCATTACCCACCGGACACTGGGCATTAATATTAATAATGCTCGAGAGTGGCAAATTAACCGCGCAAGTCTCGTTGTGCAAACATGGTCGTGCCAAAAAAAAAAAAAACCCACGTACACCTATAACTTCGTTTACGTTTCACCAGACTTACGTTACCTAGCTCATTTATCAACGTAGCGAATCCCGATTAGCGAAACACGATGATGATCCTCGATGATGATCAATGGCCGCGTGTATTCGACAGCAATATTAAGATTTTATTCGTACAGGGTAGTCATAATATATTGTAATTACAATTTTCGTGGGAATAAATATATCCAAGCACTTTTCAATTACAGAAAGTCACGATTGGAGTGCGGATTTTTATGCACTTACGGTAAAATTTCAGGATTTAAAGGTGCATGAAATGTATCATGTGCAAAAATAAAAGTTGTAAATGAATTATAACAAGCACCACCTATTTTCTATTAATACGATAGAAAATATTTATTACAAAAAAGAATATCAAACGAATCTTCAGAATTTATATTTTCGAAAATAGAACCTACGTAAGGAACTACTTCGTCTACTACACATTACAACTATAATGCTGTAAGATCAGATATTTTGTATGTTTCATGCTTTTGAAATTTCCTACAGGTACACACAAAAGTCTAATAAGAAAAATTTGCGACGAACACAAATGAACAATAACTTTGTTAGCTGCATATGAT